GCAGCACGGCAGAGACTAGCACACAGCTAAGTACCGGTAGCAACTGATTAACGGAACTAACATGCAAGCAAACACAATCCGGGACTTAGCAGTACGACCGGAGAGCAATACAGCTTGACGCAATCCAGGACTTAGCAGTACGACCGGAGAGCGATACAAGTATGACAAACAAAGACAAGGACCCGACGAAGAACACAGAGACAGGTGAGTTTAAATACACATGGAGGGTAATCAGGTAAGAAGACACACCTGGGGGACAATCAACGGGGAGGACAGGACAGAGACTCACAGGAAACAGGGCTGAACACAGAAAACTCAAAAATAAACACACAAAAACACGGATCCTGACAGTTTGGAACCACAGTCAACAGTGTAGCATGTAGTCTCAGGAAAATCAAAAAGATTCAATGTAACTTTTCCTTAAGTACTGAGAATTTTATTTTTCTACTGTGCTATGATTCATCAAAAATAACCAGGAGTAAAGATAAAATTGTATGAAACTCATGTTGGTAGTGCTTGGTGGTTTTTAGTTGTGAGGAACAACTGAAAAACGTAATACTTTTCAGTTGGTTTTCTACAAAACCTGTCAGCCATAAAACTTACTGGATGTTGTATTTTATACCTTTGTTTTTTTGTATTAAAATAAATGGTCTCTTCTTTTTCCCAGGTTTTGGTTTTAGAGGACAAGGGTCAATCTGAGTTCTGGGTTTGCTTTGATCCATCTTTCTGTACGGACTTAATGCACCGTATTGTGGATGAAGTAAGTCTGATGTTGATAATGCTTTGAAGTAAAACAATTTTAAGTATGAGACTGTTTTTTATTTTATTTTTATTTTTTTATTTTTATTGTTTTACTTTTTTGTCACATTTAAATATTTATATACTGAAATGACATCGATAGTACTGAAATAACTAAATATTTTTCCTTCTTCGCCTCATAGACGCTTACAATCAATTACTTGGACCTCCCACAACAAGAATGTGTGAAGTTGTATGCTGAGGTCCACTTTCCGAACGTCATGTTTTCTTCAACCATTGTGGACTTTGGTTGCTTGCAAAACTGCTCAGAGATCAAGAGAAGGATAACAATGACCAACTGCTTTCAGCTGCCGGTGTGCTACAACTGGGCTTTTATGGAGTACCAAAAACGTCCTCATAGGAGGTATGAGGGTTGGTGTTTTAAGTGAAAACATCCTCTGTTTTCTGTTGTACTGTAAACATTTCAACTATCTACTATCATAACTTTAGCCATGAAGGGTGATAAGTGGTGAGTTGCAGAGTTTATACCCATGTATAGTCTAAAATGTTTACATGCATCCATTCATCATTATTGTCATATTAATAAGAGCTTTTAATGCGCTTTTTTTTTTCAGGGTGAAGCCATATTTGACCAATATATCTTAAGTGTTTGCTTTTTTATTCAACTTGTGGCACTCCTGAGGTGTCTCTGCTTTGATGGCAACCTGCGGGTCGTCTGGATCGTTGGTTGTATCGTCTCTCATTTTACTCCTGACAATATTTCATAGATTCTCTATAGAGATCAGGTCAGGCTAGTTTGCTGCCCACTCAAACTTATTAATAGGTGGCTGAGTTGAGTTTGGAGTTCAGAAAATGTCAGGAGATTACATGGCACCATAACTGTGAAAACTTGACATTGACTTGTTTTAGCAGTTAATTAGTTGGCTGTAACACCACAGTTTGCATAACGTTTATACAATGATGTCATTTTTTATGACATTGGGTTTGCTTCATGTGTAGGCTATGATCATCAAAATTACAGGGAAAACGAAGGCTTGAATTTTTCACTGTTTATACTGAATCTGTCTGAGTCACACTTTTTCATGTGTGACAAACTGTTGAGGTTTTTCATGATTTTTAGCTGCACCTGCAGTTTTCTTTTGTTATTGTTATAGCTGCTCTATACAAATACATGGTAAATGTAAGTTTATCTGTAGGATCTACTTGTTTTTGGAACCAGAACATATTTTAGTTAGTTACTGAAAAGATGAGATTCCATGCATTAAATCTGTCCACTGGGATGCTTCAGTACCAAGCTATACATTTAACCCCACTGAACTGAACTGAGCCAAAGCCATTATAAATTCTCTGGGGAAGACACATTTACTGATGGTGTGCTTTATAAACTTTACAGTGTGCCTCTTTCAGGCCTCTGCTTTGGCTCTTCTGGAATAACTGTGAATACTGTAGTAGTCTACTTGTGGCCTTGAACCAAATAACTAATAGCTCTGCAAGATTTATCACCCTCAATCAGCTTTTTCCCCTCAACCTCTTCCATCTATTGGTATTCTTTCGTTTCCATCTTTCCCTTTCTTCTCCTCGCAGGGCTTTACATTGCTTATTTCTCTCTTTTTTTCTCTGCCTCTCTCTTCTCTGCCTATGTGTCTCTTTAATACTTTAACCTCATCCAATCCCTCTTCTCTTACCCACACTTTCCCTCTCTTAAAAACCATCCTCGTGGGTCGTCATGCCAATTAAATGTAGACCTCACCTCTGTAAAATCTCTTTCTCTCACACAAAACCTGCGTTATCTTGCCATGTTCAGCTAATTACATCGCTGTCAGTAATTACACCGCAGTTCTCTGAGATGGGATCGTCTGTAAGGCAAACTCTTTTATCCGAGCAACATATATATGCAGTATAGCACATATAGATCCTGCAGTGTGTCCATCTGGAAAACCTTCAGCAAGACAGGACAAGAAAACATACTTTTTTGTCTATTTTTAATCAGATTACTGATATAACTGGCTAGTCAGTGAAACAAGTAACTTAAGGAAGCACCATGCTAAAGCCAGTGTGTTCGGGGGAACCAAGGGTCTTCATCTCCAGTCCATAAAGGACATTTTGGGCCATCCAGGTCCTACAACTTTTAGATGTGTCCCTGGTCCAACACACCTGAATCAAAAGGCTGAATTGCCTCCTCAGTATGAAGTGAGGTTCTCCAGAGTCCTGCTAATGACATGATTATTTGACTCAGACGAATTGAAGCAGAGACGCAGCTTATGGTTGCAGAACACAGGCCCTTGAGGACTAGAGTGTAAGACCCCTGATGTAAATAAACTGTTTTGCTGCCAGAATTTGCAGATTTATTCCATTTTTGACTTGCTTGAAAAAGCAGTAGGAAGAAAAACAATATTTTCTTATAAGTGGCCACATATAGTCTTAATCTTGTAAATGTCCCAGATGTTTTTTTTTTGTTTTTTTTTTAACTGATATCCTGCAAAAATGTGACATACTTTTCTCTAATGTGTGACTGCCAAGCCAGAAATGAGGCTGGAGCAACAGTCTTCTTTTTTTTTTTTTTTTTTTTTTTTTTTTTCATTTTTTGGAAAAAAAAAAAAATTCACCCAGGCTTTTTGGGCTTTTAAA